TAATAATGATTCCAGTTTAAAACAAGACTAGACCACCCATCGAAATTTAGAATGACAAACAACCATCTGGTGTTCAGTTGAAAGCATTAAATGAGTGGTTTCTTGATTATTTGATCTTAACTTTGATGAAAATTAATGGATTAAGTTAGAAAGATCAATCAAGCTAACGCTTGTCCACTAATTATGGACGTATTAGGATAACAGCTTTAGGTATTCCCAACATTTCATTGATTGATTAGGTGTGTAATCTATATCAGAATATAGCAGGTATCAAAACTTTATCATATGAGCCTATACAAAACACACGTCCATAATATATTTTCTCGTTCAAGATATTATAAATATATAATATGGAATATCCAACAGTTATTACTTCTTCGCAACTGTCTGGGACTTTACTTTCATAATGTATTCAAAATATGCGTACATTTAAGCAAATATAAATATGTGTACAACTTGTGTTTATATATATTTTCATCGTACTCATCATATACCATGAGAGCCTCTTTAAGAATAATTTAGAACGTTTACTATAATTTATTATATGGTTCTAAGAATTTTTTATTTTTTTTTTAATTTTCATTCTGTCTTACCTTCTTTTAAATTCGTAATTTGAGCTCTTTGCAGAAGGAAAAGTCGTAAGGTAGTTGAAACCAAAACAAGTAAATAAATAGAATAAAATCTAATATGAATAGTTATGCGTTAATTTCAACAAATTAACTCATTTATTTCATGATTCAATTGTGTGGAAGATTTGATCCTTTCATGTTCTCCTGTTCTATTGAAGTCGGGCTTGAGAGAAACCTAGTTTCGTAAATGGTAACTTTTGAACCTAAAACAGTTAATTGTAATAAATCATACAAGTTTTAATTTCCCGCCTGCTTTATATACGTCATTTTGATTTTATTGTGTTAAAAATCGAGGTATACTGTACTAAAAGGTTTGCTTTTCTCGACTGGAAATCTTTGAGCATGTGAGTCGCTTGAGTGACGTCATTTGACTCATTGCCTACTCCAAAGTAACTGGTCTCTGCTCATAACAGGCATAACAGCACTTATATAAGCAGTTCAAAAATGAATACAGAATGTTGACTAAATCTTAAAAATTTATATTTCATTATTTTATTAATAAGCTTGAAATAGGTACTAAAATTAATGACGATAATTTTAAATTTAAGATAAAATTTCGAATTTATCTTATTTTAATTTGAATACGCCTATGTTATCCTTTTCATCATTTTCTGTTCTTTGAAAAACTAGAGCTGTAACAGTTTATCTTCTGCACTGCGTTATTCTCGCTACTAGGCTGTTACGTTTGAACCAATTTACGCGCATCCTGTAGCCTTTGGCCTAACTCATAATTTATTGAGTCAATTCATTATTTTTTAGCTATGCCATAAATGCTGGCTGGTTTGTAAACACAAGCTGTGCCTTCTGTAAATTTATCTGAGTTAAACAAACACAGATAAAGTTTCTCTATCTGAGTTTCGTCTTTACACTTTTTCTACGCATCTTGTAATTTCCAAGACATAGTGATAATTCGCTTAAGTCTTCCAGAGTTGTCATCTAGTTTATGTTACCAAAGAGGTTGCGATTCCATAAGTTCTAGATTTTTATACACATAAATTTTATGGGGCAGCTAATTAACTACAGTACTAAATTCATCAACGAGAAACTTTAATTAATTCTTTTAATTTCATATTACGAATGATATTTAAAAAAGCAGTTAGATGAAAATGTTACTAAGAAAGAAAAATCTGATGTGTACAGCACATGACTTCCTTGCACAAAATATTAAATTATACGCATTTTTCGTGCATTTCATTTAAACTTATTGGATTGAATTAAATCTACATCGCGATAGCGCATAAACCATAATAGAATAAACGCACTTTTAAAAATTCAATATATTTGTTGGACCCACCAGCGCCCGAGCGGTAAAATCGCTGAACACTGGTAGTTCGGTCCGAGGTTCGAATCCCGCGAACGGGCTGGTTGCATGGACGTTTTCGTGGTTTTCCCCATGTGTAACGTGTGTACGAGTCAGTTTCCTTTAGAAAGTCCTTCACGAAGGCATCCCTCCTCTTAGGCAGATAACTCTCGAGGTTTTACCATAATCACACACACACACACACTATATTTGTTTACCATAGCGAAACTCTGGCGCTAGGTTCACTTAATAGCGTTACATTTCGTCCATATTATAACTTAAAATGCTAATAAATTTATATCATCTGGGAGAATTATCTAATCGTTGCCACATGTTCTATGCAAATACTATAATAAATCTAAAACAATGTATAAAAGAAATTAAGCAAACAAAATTAAAAAGAAACATTTTTTCACAGACGATTCAGTATATCTTATTCAACTAACTCAGTTCTCACTTGCCGACAAGGCAAAAAGACATAAAAAGTGAAAATATCTATATTAAAAATTACGAAGTAAATGTGAAACATTTATTTCCTCGAATAAATTCCAGAATGGATTAAGCATGATTTCATTCGCAATAATAAAATAAGGCGTTATCATTGGATCTTAGTTTCTCTATATTGGCAACAAATCCGCTATTTTGCCAAGTTTTAAACGTAAACAAACATGTCCGCCATCCGCAAAATTCATTAGGCTTAGCTGCACTTAAACAACTTTTAAATTGTTGATAACTCTACAAATATTGCAGCAGATTTAAAAGCCTTAACCGGAAGATAAGAACAACATAACTGGATCATTTTTAAAGCAAAAAAATGCACAATTTACAAACAAATAAGAATAAAGAAACTGAGCTCACTGAGCCGAGTAACAGAGTGAATAGATATATACATATATATATACACGTTTGGTGCGGCCGATTGCAAGCAAAATACGAGGTGCACATCTAGATGTTATAGCATCCTACATACAAAATTTCAACGTTCTGAGGCTACTCGTTTTTGAGTTGTGCGAGATACGTACGTACGCACAGACGCCAAGAAAAATTCTCTTCAGAATTCCTTTTAAATCAGTTTCATAATTTTTTTGTGGTGAAAGAGTCCGTTATTCTGTCCTCACTTGCAGCTGATAGATGACGGAGAACGGGGGCGCCTGGTGTCTAACGTAGGTAAACAGGCATATGCCCCGCGTCCTCCACTATCTAGAGGCAACAACTCTCTGGAGCTCCATGAGGCCGCCCCGGGAGTTTATTAAGATCTTAAAAAAAAAAAAAAAGGTTAACATGGCCATACAAGGGCTAGACTACATGTAGTACATTGTAAGAGCGTGAGACAACTGAAGGTTATGGTTACAGAAGTAGAACAAAATAAGACATAAACATAAATGGAAACATATAAAAAGAAACATAAAGAAACACATAAAGCACTAAAAACACAAAAAGGTACACTACGATACACTAAAATACACGTAACTAAATAAACACCGAACTTCCTTACTTCCATATGTCACGAAAAAACATCATTAAATTGTGTTGGATAGCGGTCAAAATCGATATTTTCTTTGAAATATGATACTCGAAATTTTTCGCGAGTACAATACTTTCTTATTACTTCGTACAAGGAAGTAAAAAAGAAAACCAAAATTTCCGTTTTATGGTATGTAAACCCTCTGTTACGAATTAAAAAAAAGTAAAGAATGCAGTGATATGCATATTTTCATATATATTTGTAAGATCTAGTACGCTTAGCTATCATAAAATGTAACTAGATCTGTCTAAGTGTTGTTCCTTGCGAATTCTCGCACAGGCGTGAAGATGATTACAATCAGGAAAGGGTTTGAACGACCCTTTTATTCTCTTTTTATCTTAAAATATTTAACAGATGGCAAGGACTTAAATGCTAAAATAAAACCGATCACTCGCTGTTAGAATTTGAAAGATACTGTAATACTAAATTTAGAGGTAAAGAGTGGTGCGAGACTACACAATGCAGTTTAAATTAACAGGTTGACATAGAAACTTACGATACATTAAAAACATCATAATAATAACTCGATGGCAAGAATGCGCAGCCGTTATTAAGATTAAAAGCTAGTAGAAACTAATAAACGTGCGCTCGCAATAGCGAAATCACGCTCTCTCTAACGTCTTCTCTCTAACAGTTTATATACTCTCATTCACCCTACTTCCTTTACATCCTGACGAGGAAACGCAATGATAAATAAGAGAATTCAGCAGAGGTCCACAAAAAATTAATAACTATTAATGAAAATAAACAGAACCCCACAATATACGAGCGTATCAAATAATGAAAACATACAAATACCCCATTAATCGGGAATCGGATTATTTGCTTCTATACTAAAATTCTCAAAACGCTTGCTTTAAAATATTTTACATCAAGAACTCCACACGTTCGTAGCAAGGAGTTGAGAATTTTGGGCCGAAAAGCTGGAAAGAAAATGTTTTCCTTTGTTCGAACTTGAATTTTGATTTTGAATCTGCAAAACTGCAAAATAGATAACATATCATCAAATTTTTATCTTCGATATTGTAGAACTTATTCGCTTTAGATAAGTAATCTTAGTGTTTTTTCTACGTAAATGTACTAAGATCGAAATTTTATAGGTACCATATACCTACTTCATGAACTAAACTTTGATATTAAATCTTGCCCATAGAAGATGATGCTTATTGAAACACACAGCTTTAAAATAATACAAACATGAATAAAATTTAAATAACAAAACCACTGCGTCTAGAAGACACTTCTGTGAACAGAAAATAACGAAGCCTGAGAGGATTCGAATCGTTCGAAGTATTTACACATTTGCTTCCATTTTTCACCTATAACGAGCAATGAGAGAGAACTCCAAAACGTGTAGAACAAAACGCGAAGCAATTTAAATAATAGGAAATCGCTTCCAAAATATAAATGGTTGCATCAAACTGGAAAAGCAAGGAGGAAAAAGATAAATAATTTCTCTTCGACTCTCTCTAAGATTTCGTACACCTTTTCTCTTCTCTGAAAAGAATTGTTGTTCATCTGGTAATCGAATTTTTGTTTTTCCTAGGCGTACGTATATCGGAATAACATCTATCACCTTAAATCCTATGGAGAAGGGGCTAAACCAATCGCCCTTACTCAGTCTGGCGAAGAAGGCGTTATTTTCAACGGTCTTCCTGATTGGGTATACGAAGGTAAGTACCTACCACATTTCGATGACGTAAATGCTTGGTTGTTTGCATTGTTATCTTTCCTTTTTTATTTAGCAAGTTTAGGTTTATATATCGATTTATAGGGTTTAAGTGATGTATGTTTATTTTAATGATTCCTCAAAACCTAATAATTTCTTCGTGTATTATTTTAATCTGTGAAATAATTTCTGAGGAAGATAACATTTATACGAATAATGATTTAGGAATTAAAGGTTTCGAATCTTTTTAGAGGAAAAATGCCTGTTCTAATGCAGCAAAGAAATGAATATTATAGTTGTTTTTGTTTCTCGATTTCTAAATTAGAAGTTAATTTTTTAAGTTATAGAGTGTTAGATAAAATTCCGTTTTTGTAATACCAAATTAGAAAATTTTCAATAATTCTCATTATTCAATTAACATTGGTTAAAGTTCTAATAGCGAAATATTTTGGTATCAAGGAGATATCTACTTTGAAAAAAATAAGGGGGGGGACAATTCTGTATCTCTCGTTCGCGTAATGGCAAACCGCACATTGAGTTGAACATGATACTTTTACATGACTATAAAAGGAATTTTCAGTAATAAAATATAAAACTTGAATGTATTTATTTTATACATTTCATACGAAATACTGGTATTACTTTCGCTCTCGTATTTTTAGTTTGTTTAACAATGTTTTGTTTTTTGTATTTTACGAAATTAAGGCTTTAGGAATATAACTGTCTTATGGACGCCATGCTTAATAAAAACGATATTTAAAAATATCTCAGAACGTGGTACTTGCTATATTATAAATAATGTCTCCGCCTTATAAGAATATTCTCATCTGCCATCTTGTTTAATATATATATATATAGGTCTTTTTTCGTTTGTTCTTTTTACTTTAATTAGTTATATATATACACTAAAGAAATGTTGATTATACGTATTATCTCCTAAGATAAATTTAAGTAGAATTATCTAAAAAGAGTGAATCCATAGTTAGTAAGTTTAATTCCGAAAATTGTTTTCATGTAACTGAATTTAAATTGTTAAAAAAAAAAAAAAAAAATCTGAAATGTTTCAGATTTTAAATTACGTCCAAATTAAATTACGTTTTTTTTAACGTTTTGTGCGTTATCTTTATTTATTAAATATCATGTTCTTCGCGTACTTAGAAACCATAAAATTCAGTTGAACAGCAATATCGCAAAATAGTTTTAAAATGAGCATATCTTTAGAATTTCCGATACAAAACTCACGCGCTGGAGGGGGATAAAAATGTTTTTTTCTGCACAACGTTGCCATTGCTCGCTTTGAAATCCTTGAGTTTGTTTAAATCAAAAATTCATTCAAAGTTTTAAAAAATAGGAAATCGATCATAAAACAAAATTTCAAATTTCAAATTTCGGTCTTCCACATGCCTCATATTCGTCAGTAGGATTACGTTATTCAAAATTCGATGACTCTATGTACCATTGTTTTATCACAATACGAGAAATATACATACATTTATGCAGATTTTTCATTATTTAATTTCTTCAAATATAATGCAGGAGTCTAACATTTTGTGGCAACAGTTTGAAAAGTGAACCGACATTTATGAGTCCGACGCAAAATGCCAAAACGAAACTAATAGTCCTTCGGGATTCAAATCCCTTTGGACTAAAAATGTTTAACGGGGACTTGAATTAAATCATGAATAACAAAATTCCAATTATAAAAAGAAATTAAATTAAAAGCAAGTAATCATTGCCATTGATCGGAAATTAGTTGACTTTTCAAGGGGAACAAACCAACTCCCCTTCAATGAACAATAATTAAGAAATAAATACGAAGGTGTTTGTCCTTTACTCAAGTAATAAGGCGATGCCAAACTGGCAATTTAGGTTAGGCCAAATATTTCCGTGAATTGAAGCGATCAAGAACCAATGCAGAGCACCAAAGAAATCATTCTCGTAAAATTGATAAATTACTTGAGTAATTGTCCCCCGACACCCTCGTGTTTATGCATTTTAATTCAAAACTATTTGTAAAAAATTAAACATTGGAAATTTGGCATTATGAAATAGAACTCAAAGTAATTGAAATAAACGCTAGAAAATTACGAAATATAAGAAATATGATGCAATCTTTGCAAAAACAAATAAAAAAATAAAAATTTAAATTAAAAATATATATAATAAGAATAGGGATGTACATGAAGATATAAAAGGCCAGAAAAAGCATTAATTACGTTCTTTCTAGTGGGAAGTGGGCAAAGTGTTTTCTTCGCGTCTTACTCAGAAGGGTTGTGTGTCCGAAATTATAAATAACCGGATAAAGTAACCGGACAGTTTTCTAAAATTCTAAAAATAAGAAAGTTTTTACTAAGCTTCAAATGCATTTTAATTCCTTTAAAATAAACGCCAGACTATACAATTTCATACAATCTCTATAGAACTATACAATTTTTGAACGTTTTTTTCAGATTGTAGAGGACGTTCTTTGTGAACATATGATGTTGAACTCTAGAAAGACTGGAGAATAATATTCCTCTGTCTTAAACTCCAGACATACTGTAAATAGCCCTTTTATTCGAACGTAAAAATTAGCAAAACTTACACAAGGCAAGCACCTCTGGCTTAACAGAAATACGTTACGTGAAACAAATTCAAATGTGGTAGATTAGCCTAACGGCTCACAGAATAATTTAACGTGCAGGAAAGGCTCTGGTTTGTAGAAAAACCGGCGAGACAAGCAAATAGCTAGAAGCACCCAACGCCACAAAATCAAATCGCTAATAATCACAGCTTAACGTAGCCTGGAATATAGGCAGACACGCTGTTACACTAACTTCCGAAACTCTTGCTTAAACAACACTTTTTTCTGCTTCAATCTGAATAAACGCTCACTATCTTATTTACATTCTAGCATGAAAGGCGTGGGTGAAAAGAGAGTGATAGGAAAGGCTTGAAACTTCTTTCATATCCACCTTAATTTCGGAGAAAAGGAAAAGATTAGCTGGTGTTAAGTCGTGAGAATATGGAAGGTGGTTTATCACTGAAACGGAATGCTTAGCAAGATACTGTTATTGAGACAATACTGTGTGTGGCCTAGCGTTAACGTGTCAAATAAATCGTTGCCTATAATCAAAAGTTCCTACCTATCTCGTCTTATTCTGTTTCTTAATCAAGAAAGCAACGTTTTGTAGTAGTAGTATTAGTAGTAGTAACGGAGGACGTTGGCATCATCCCCCTACCATTACGGTTAATCGGTTCTGCCCACTTCCGCCCTTGTCTAGTATTTATTAATAAATAAAAGGTTTTTATATTGCCATATAGTGTGCCATATATTGCCATATAGAAAAAATAAATAAAATTAAAAATCTTAAAGTAGTACTTTAGAGTCCTTCATAAAGTGTATCTTTGTAAGTAATTTTTTATAAAATGTCGAAATTTGTCCTTAGTAAGAAACGTTTGAAACTTATTCCTTCGTTCTTCTTCAAGAAGTTTTCTTTCGTTCTTCTCTTTCCTTTTAATCTTCCTTTCATATAATCTTCGTTAAATCTTCCTTTCTTCTATCTTAATTTCTTTCCTCCATTTTACATGTATTTTCTTCCTATATATCCTTTATCTTTTTACTTAATATAGTGAATAAGAAATCCATCTTTATGAATTACTTGTTAACATATTCTTTCCACCTTCTACAGAAAAATTTAATTTTTCTTTTTAAAACCTTTATTTGTAATTTTATACCTTTTCCCTTTAAATCTTTTTTCCTTTGAAGCCGCCTTCTTCTGCCTTTCCTTTGAAACCTTTATTTGTAATTTTACACCTTTTCCCTTTAAAATCGTTTTCCTTTGAAGCCTCCTTCTTCTGCCTTTCCTTAAATGATTAAGTAGTTCTTCATTAGTTAAATCATCTTGAATACTACTCCTTGTTTCCTAAATCTTTAGTTATTCTTATGGAGTATCTTCATCTATATCTCAATTCCTTAAGCTTCTTCTTCTCTTCCTGTAACTTCCGTTATGTTCCCTTAAAAATACTGCTTAACTGATTGGTTTCAGGAACAAATTCATGGTGAATAAGTCCTTTATAATGAAGAAGTGCAATTAGCATCCCCCCCCCAATCTTTGATTTCGACATCTGTGCGTTTTTCGGTATGGGAGAAGATGGTCCTTTCTTCTGTGCACTTTGTCTGTATGTTTCTGCGACTGTAAACACCAGACCTCATCTTCCTCTAAGACGCCCTTCAAGAAATTATTGTCCATTCTCGCAGTATTCAGCAAATTTTTGCAGCAGATTTTTCTGTCATCTTATTGTTGTTCTGTCAAAATCTGAGACACAAATCGAACTGAAACTTTGCTCATTTTCTGAATTTTCAATAACAATTAACCTACGTCATCTTTCTTTGCTTGTTCCAAGCATGTCTTATATATGCTGTTATAGTTGTTATCAGCTTTTATTAAAGAACAGACTTTCTCCAAAATGTCCTTATTCTTCGAAGCTGAAGGGTGTCCTATTCTTCGGTTCATCCTCAATGCTTTCTCGCTCGCATTCAAAGCGCTTGTTTCATCTGTGACATTTCGGAAGCAGATACGCCTAATTTGTAACAAAATTTAAAAATATAACGTTGTTCCACCTCGAAGCATTTTCTTTGTTTTTGTATAATGTCTTGTCAGTAAATAAAAATGCCTGCAAAATTTAGATATGCAAACTGCAAACTAACCAGCTTAAACTGGCTTTAACCCAAGAGTTTAGATGTCACTCTGTAGAGCATTAGGTTATTTCGAATCAGGAGAGATGAAAAATGAGCAAGGCCTTCGTCGGGATTCGGACCACGGAACTCTGGAATGCGTGCCCAGTGTGCTGATCACTACACTACGAAGTCGGGAGAAATAACTAAATAACTTATAACTCTTTCTAAATATACATTTATTTCTCCCTTTTTCTATATTATGATTTGGTCTTTTAGTTTGTCCAGTTATTTTACGAGCGCACCTAATAGGTTAGGTACAGGTAGCTGTAATGGATTGGAAAATT